TGCAGATGTTATCTTAAAAGTCTGATACATATGTTTGTTTCCAGAAGATGCTCAATTAATCATCTGTGAATTGAGGATAATGTTGCTTTTTCTACTTTCTAAGAATCTTGTGAAAATGAGCCTACTGTGGATAGAAAGGCATTCAGATATTACAAAGATGAGTGTTGTAGAAGGAATTAAATGTTCTCTACTCTGAAACAATGGAATGAATGCCAAGCAGTGGTGGTGTGAATTGAGTGCAACGGCTCAAAACAGGTATTTTTCATTCCCACAGTTGATTGAATCTGACTCTGATTTTGGTGTCAGATAATACAGTCACATGTTTAGCTGAACTGAATCAAATAATTATTTTGAAGTGCTAAGTGATCTGCACAGTAACATTTTTGAATGTAATTTGGCACACATAAAATACTAGTAATAAGAAACACTTTTGAAAATAACTTCCAGTTCAGAAAATATACTGATCACATCAGTTACCAAAAAGCAGCAGGAGCACATGAAACAGTTTATGCAGCTTTTCAGATCCTACTAATCTCTCTTTTATTCTAAAGGTATTCAGACAATGCTTAAAACTTCAGCTGAAAGCTTTCATTGCTTTTTTAATGGATGTTACCCTTTAAGAAAGTTGCTTTAAATTCCCTTGGTTGAGAAAGACTTCAAATCAAATTCTATCTTCAGTGCTGCTTTTTTGAGCTGTATCCCACTTTCTGTTCTTGAAGATGAGGAAATGTTTTTAATCTTTTGTGAAGTGCACAACTGGATGAACTAATTTAGCAGTGGTTTCAAACTGCGGGATTCTATTTGTTTCCATATAATGCTGTTATTCTGTGTGCATGTTAATTTGTACATTGCAGGAACAAATAGATCTACAGTAAGTGATTAATTTTTGCCAACTTGAGGACAACAGGAAGGCTGGCTGTATTAGGATGACATTACCAACTTTTTGAAAACATGCTATTAGGACTTTTTGGAGGACAGTACGTTCATAAAGAACTGCTGTTGAGTCAATCACTCACCCCCAACTTGAAACACAAATATAGAAAGAGGATCTGAAGGGAAGGAGAATTGATTGCTATTTTTGCATGTCTCAATGTAGGCCACAATCCAAAAAAGTATTGAAGTCAATCTAGAAACTACTTTGGGTTCACTGGACTTTTTGATCATGCTCTAGGCATGTAAAAGAAGCAGTCATCCTATTTCAACTGGTTATGCCGAGGCTGCCAGCGGCATAGTACAACACTGCACTCCTTCTTAGCAGAGCCTGCACTCTGTTGCATGATACCCATTTGCACAAACAAAGCTGAGCAAAAAATCAACTGCAAATTCCCAAGTATCAATTCTGTGATTTGTACTAAAGGCCGAAACTGCCTTAAATGAGAAAATGAAAGAGGGTTGAGACTTTTTTTCCTGTGTATCTCTGTAAAAACTGACAGGTAGTCCCAGATTTATTCCTTGACAACTTCCATGTGCACAAAGGGCACAATATAGGCTTGAAAACTCTAATCCCTTTCCCCTTAGCCCTCTCTGTCCCCCCTGTCCGTCCACCGCCCCAGCTTTATTGTTGAAAGAGGTGTGTATCAGACTTTACCTAAAGGGTTTTCAACAGCTCCAAGTAAGAGTTTTGGTGTCCTTCTCTTTAACTTGTTCTGACATTGTAACATTTGACACTCCATCATTTTGTAAATGATGTGGTTTTCGTTTTAAAAATCTAACAGTTTCATTACTTGGGAGTCATTGCTTCCCAGCCAAATACATAAATGATGACAACTTGCAACATACAACTGTGAGAGATTCTAGATCTTTTTTTCCATATTTTGACATGAATCTTAGTTTACTTCAAAAATAAACTTTGAAAATATGAAGAGGAAAGAAAAATGAGTACAAATACAGCAAAAAAAACATTAACTAAAATTCATAAAAACTGTATGCCTTTGAAGTCTGTGCAATTGGATTATTTAAGGCAGTTGGATTATATCAACCAGTTATATAACATTAATCTGTGGGTTCCTCTTCAGGCATTTTGTATCCTCTCAGTTTCTCCCATCTGCCAGTAAATTATAGCTGGTGCCAGCAAATCCAAGCATCAAACCTTTTCTACGGATTGTTTATGAGGCTGTGAACTCGTGTGGTGTGTAACATCTGTTTGCCTGGCCTCTTTGAGTTTGTTGCATTCCCTTAAAAATGTATAGGTCCACTGGAGGTAGAGGAAGATCACTGCTGTGCTGGATGGACTCTGGAGCCTGCTCCCTGCAGAACCTGGAGAGAGACAGGCTGGTGGCACCATGAGTGATGAGGGGAGCTGTGCTGCCCAGGCTGCCACCGAACCAGCACCCAGACCTCATGCATAGTTTGCTGGATTGTTTTCAAGGACATAAATATTTGTCCAAGGGAAACTCCCTACTGTACAAACCATCTACTCAGGTGTCTGCCTGTTACTGAATGTAGTAGTAGATACATACTGGCATTAGTAACAGTGTACACATTATATTTTAATTTAACTGTTTTTAATTTTGAATTATTAAAAATTGTATGATAGATGTGACTGAATAATTAGAATATCAGTCTGGAGTAAAAATTATTTAATTCAAGTTGCAGCTTAATCCTGTATAATTGTTAAGGTTCTCTAGGTACCAAAAATATGCAATTTTATTCCAACAGAATGCTGAATTCTGCATCTTTGGGTTTTGGTTACTGTTCAAGTCTTGAATTCAGCTCTTGCACCTGAATCTTAACCTCCCTTAAAAATTTTGGGATGTCTGAATGCACCCTGCTCTGTTGAGTTCCTTCTCTCTGCGCTTTCTCCAAAGCTAGTACTTAGAGGTCATCTACTCATCGTATGCATTTTTAGTTTGAATAGCACTTTTAGTTTGAAAATGCTTTCAGATATGACTGATTTGAATATTACTGGCATAATTACTGGCTTGTATTAGATAAGCAGTGTATTATTTTAATAAATGTAACCATCTATGCTCATGATAGTCTTCCTTTGGGATGTACAATGCACAGTTAATAATTTTGAATGCAGATGTGTTTTCAAGGCAAATAACTGGATGTATGAGGAGATGCTGTAACAAGGAAAATTAAAAGTTAAGGTCAAATTCCATTGACAGAGAAAGACAAGTAAAGTCTTATAACTTCAGACTTTTAGCTTCATTAATTTATCAGTTTCCTTTTAAATCACTTGGAGGGGAAACCTGTCTTTTCCCCTTTTGCAGGCATGGAGGTAAGAAGGTTTCCATAGGTGAGCCTGGACGCACATAATGCCCCATTCTGCTGGGTTCTGCCCAGGATCTGGGCGAGGGTTGTGCTGGTGGCTCAGGCTTCTGCTTCTGGCCCACAGCCTGCCCCGGGGAACCCAGCTGCCTGCTGTGTCTCTGCTCCACTCATCATAATGTTCTCTTCAGTCCCATTGCGTTAGAAGAATGGGAGTTTGATTAAATCTTTCTACGCTCACTTGCCTTTATAGAGTCAGATTTTCATCTAATGTAGCATAGGCTTTGGCAAAGCAGTAGTGTTTATGAAAAGGATTTTCAAGCAATGTCTTGTCTGTTCACTCAGGTTGAGTGAGAGGTCATGTCACATAAATATTCCCAAGACTAAAAACTCTACGTGTTACAGAGTGGATCTATCAGCACCATAATTACCCTGCTTTGGTAAAAAAGAGAGAGCCAGAAAATATTGGGAGAGGTAGAAACAAACAGCGAAAATCATTTTCTTTAAACAGGGGTGTATGTGGACTACAGCTAGGCTGGGGTATCAGAACTATTGCTGTCTAGCAGGAAATGGCACTATTATCACTAAACTGAAAGGTCAGCTCTGCTGGAAATGCCAATTACTGGTGACGTATGAGGTGGGTTTCTTAGTGTAATTGGGAAATATTTTTTAAAGACTGTAGAAATCATGTGAGTGAACTGTAAACTTTGTGTTCCTCTAGGTGAATTACTGGAGTGGATTCCTCAGGGAGGTGGGGAAAATGCTTCTAAAAGCTGTGATAGATGTCTTCTGGGCATCAGAGCCTTGTTAGTGGTCCTGCCTTTGTCCTGGGTTTATTGTGCCAGTATAAGGTTTAAAACTGCTGATGCAGGAATTCCTACAGACTTTAGGAAATAATCGTTGTACAATGCTTTGCCACACTGTGGGCTTCCACAGACGGCTGCTATATTTCACACTATAATTTTCATGTGCATAAATGGAGAGCAAACACAAAGTGCTATCCATGGCTTTACCTGGAGGAGATTGTAGTGCATCCACCATGGATTTGTTATATCCTCTACCCAGATAAGGATAATAAATAATATATCATACGTGCTCACATGTTGTGTTAGTTTGCCAAGAACAGCAGAGTCTAGTTTTTGTCTCCCTTGTGATCTGTAAATCTGTAACATATTAAGAGCTATTTTTGTGTCTTTGTTTGTTTTTTTTTTTTTTTAACCTGGTAAATTCTTCTGGTGACAAGGGTTGTTGGAGAGTCGCAAATTTGACAGCCCAGGATATACTTTTTGCCACTAAACTACTACATGTGGACTAACAGCCCAGCATACAGCACAGCTACCTCTTTCTGTGACAGTGTTACCAGAACAAGGCTCAGTTTGGTCATATTGTTTTGGGGTATTTCCCCATTACAAAGGTTGTTGTCTTATTTATTCATGTCATTGTGCACTACTCGGAAACCTTTCCCTTCAGCTCATGATGCAAAAGTGACATAGTCTGTGACTGTTAGTGGTTTAAGCTCTGCTTAGTTCCTGCAAAAAAGAAGGCTGTGCCCAAAATCTCACTGCCTTTGCTTGCTGCTCTTGCCTCCTGCATTCAGAGAGGCTTCTTAATGAATCCTGTGCAGCTGAGGGGGCAAGGTACCCCAGATAGCAAAAAGGACAAAGCACATTTCTCATAGCCAGAACTTGGAGGCAGTTTGATTTAGTGCCTCTTACTTTTTTTCTGTAAATCAAATTAATCTTGTTGTAAAATTGTCCCCATCACTTTCTTGTTTTCTCTTTTTACAGAGCGATGAGGTTTTAACAGTCATCAAGGCAAAAGCACAGTGGCCTGCCTGGCAACCCTTAAATGTGTAAGTAAGTAGGGAATAGTATGTCTCAGTAGCTTTGTGTTGAGTCTCAGTTAATGGGCTCCTGTAAACTCATTGTCTCATAGAATCATTCACTCTTGCAAAGAAATAATCTAAAAGTATTTTGATAGACAAGTTTTTTGTCCTCCTCCCCCCCGTTGCTTTTTTCTCTCTCTCCTCTTCAGCATCTCCTCATTTTTTATGTTTTGGTCCACTCACTCTTACAGCAGAAGGATTATCCCATGGAGTTTGTGCCTTTATTGAACAATGATGTTTATTCAATGCTTGCTCAAATACATGTTGTACTCCTTACATATAGTATTTTGTATCATCCTGTGTCACGCACTGTGACAACTCTCTTTGTCAATACAGCAAATCCACAATCCACCACCAAAACACTTTTAAATGACTAATTCTTTAGAATGCTTAACTGAAACACCTTACAATAGCATCATGATCCTGAAGGTAGTATAACTATGGTTGTTTCTCCAGATGAGACAGCAAACTGACTTCCCAGTATGCTGACTCCAGGCTTTCTGGCACTCACCTGAAAAGAGGAAAAAATTCCTCTTAGGATACTCTTGAGTTTACTGGTTGTCTTTTGAGGGGGTTCCTGCATAACTTACCTGTTTCTTGGCCCAAAGTTCATGCTCATTATCCAAGCCCACATGAGTGAGACTTACAAGAAATGACTAAAGGTGAGAACCCAGTATAAGGGGTCACCCCACTGGCTGACAGCTGATTAAGTCCTTGGAGAAGCAGGGCAATTAGTCTACCACAAGACTGTAATGACCAGGTAGTCCTGTTTCCTCTGTAAAAAGTATAAGGGAAACAGTTAGTGGAACATTGTGTCTGGTTTGTCATCTGTATTTCAGAAAGTATGTGAAAATTTGGAGGTTAGTCAAAAAAAAGCTGCAAAAGAGTTCAGTTTTCAGAAAACATCCCCTACCGTAAGAGGCTTAGGAACTCTTAAGCAGCTTAGGGTTTAAGCTGTTCTGCTTATCCCCTCCCCCACAGCTAAAAGGGAAATCAAAAAAAGGAAAGGGTTAGGAGGTGAGCACAGCTTAAATAGTGAAAAGATTTCTGATAGCTGATCCCTCTCTAATCTAGAAGAAAAAAACTCAACTGTGAAATCCCTCATAGCGTGGAAGCTAAGGAAATTTGTGACAAGGAAATTCTCAGTAAAAATATGGGAAAAAGCTTTAAGAGTGTGACTAACCTTCAGAGCAGTTTACCTGAACATGAGATGGATTTTACATCACTTGAACATATTTTAATCCTGAGACAGAGCTGTGAGCTCTGCACAGGAATTGTGGGGTAGGCTTTTTGTGGCTGGCATTATGCAAGTGGTCACTCAAGGTGACAGTAATGGCATTCTTTATTTATGGTCTTATTCCCCTGAAAGTGTCAGTACAGGCATTTGGTAGTGTTTGAATGTTGTAGTTGTGGATAGCATTTTTTTCCTTTCTGCTTCTTTCTATTCACTCCAAACTAACACTTTAAATTGGAAACTTCTGTCCACTTCTCTGTTCTGTTACAGGGAGGTGTCTGACTGAAACAAGTCATTTATTTTTTCATTCCAGTTTCAGTTACTTTCCTAAACCACCATTTATGTATGATGTTTCTGTATCAACGTGAGCAGTGCTAATAGGAATTAACTCTGGCCGCTAGGGTGCCAGCACTGGACCACCAATGCTTTGGTATTGACAAAAGAGCAAATTTATGCTTTGTTCACAGAAATATGGAGAGAGGATCTCCTGCTCCAGAGTCTCAATACATGATCTTTCAAATACACTGAATATATTACATAACAAAAATCAAAGCTAATTAAAGTATGTTGCCCCTGGTCATAGTGCCTACTTTAATACATCATTGTGAAACTTCACAAAAAAATTGAGAGTGAACAACTTCAGATACTTTCTAGGCATATTCTTTCACAGACGTGCCTGCAGACATCTTTGCAACATACTCCAGATGTTCTTCCAGTCAATTGTTTCTTTCTCTATCTGGTAATTCTCAGCTTTCAGGAACATAAAAAAGTATAAATCTTGGTGTTTGTGTTTTTAAATGCTGTGTCAGTGTTCCCCTAACAAATGTTCCTTCACTTCACAAGTAGTGTTGGATTTTTGGCTTTTAAAATAATTACTTATCATAATTTAGAGTTATGTCCTTTTTTCTTTTTTCCCTTTTTTTAAATTCCATTTAAAAATATGATCTAAGTTTCAAAAGAAAACATAATTTTCAATAGCTATTAGCTCCTGGTGTTAATTTTCCATTTGCTGTTATGGATGGTCCTTCTTGAAATTTATATTAGAGTTGTGCACGTATTGAATAATGACTCTTCAGGGTAAACATTTGGTCTATTATTATGCGTAGCACAGCTATCTTACTAATCAAAAATTGACTAAAAGTCATGACTAACCTTCTTTTGCATAATCATTAGTCATATTTCTAATATATAATATGGTGTGACAGTGGTGCCAATATGGTGTTGCAATGTGTCATAATAAGCACAGCCTAAAACCCTTCCTGAATGGGTTTTACAACAATTATCAAATGCATAACATCAGTGAGCTGATTTACAGAGACCTAAAGTGTCAAAAGTTGATAAATTTGGCCTGCTTACAGTTCAGCGCTCACCTCCGAATTCCTTGTAGGGATTTTTGTTGCTAACCTTATCCAAGTTAGTTACAGCAAATTACACTTAGATCAGAGGGAGGAGGAACAGTGACCTCCAAAACTTGTGAGGGCTGTAAGAGTGTTACTCTGTTTGCACACTGCTGTGGAGAATGGGGATGAGGCACGGCAACATCAGGCTGTGAGAGCAACAACACAGGTACTGAGTGTGCTGGACTGCAGGGACATTCACAGAGATGGCAGCAGGCATTGTCATGGAGGAGAGCCTTATGAGCTCAGTATTTGCTTGTCACAGGCACCAGCTCACTCAGACCCACCCTTTTTCAGGAGAAAGAGAGAGAAAACACACCAGGTGGAGCATGCAGGGGGCTCAGAATGACCCTGGGCACCAGGGTGATCACCACCCAGTCAGGACAGGCACTGCACCTGCCCCTGGGGCTGCCGGGTCCTCTCCCATCTTCCCAGAACAGCAAGGGAGACTGCCGCATCTCCTCTCCCTACAGAGGCTGTACAAGGGAAGCCCTTATTTCTTGCCCATGTTTGAGCCATCAGTAAGCCCTTGGTTTTCTACTCTGGCCACCTGTAATAACATATGAGAGGGTGGTCTTGGCCAGGCACCCCTCACAGATTCATCATGGAGTCAAGTGGCTTTGCTTCTACCCTGTCGATGCTGGTCAGTGAGGCTGTGACTCCAGAGACCAGTTGTACCTCGCTAACTAATGTTTCCAGCTCTTTATAGACAGAGGACATGAAGTGTGTCTGTGTCTAAATCTGACAGTGATTCCAAAATCCTTCTGTTCATGACACCAGAGGTAAGAAGGGAAATGGAGCTGGGAGCTTTTCTTCTGTTTAGGGTGGAGAAATGGAGACTTCTCAGTGTAGATCCAGTGGGCATAACATGCCACCTCAGGAAGAGTTCCTTGGCCTCAGACAGTGAGTTCAGATACAAGAAATCACAGTAGGGACTGAAACAAGTTGCCAGCCCTATGCAAGGAAAGATACAATGACACCTAGTAATTTTCTGAAATGCTTTCTTTTAAGTATGATAAAGGCTAATATACTAATATTGTCATCTCCCAGTACAATATAATGCTGTGGAAACTGTAACTTGCCATACTTCACTGTCTGTTTTTCATCATTCCTCTCCTCAGTTCCTATATGTGCCTGCTTCTTGTCACTGTTTTTCCTTTTTTCCCCAATTACTTATCTTCACTGTTCTCCTTTCAGTTTCTTACCCAGGGCACCAGCACAGGAAACTCCTGAGTTTTTTTATGCAGGAGACAGTTTTGGGTGATCTTTGTGAGCTAGTCTTACGGCTGCCCAGCTGAGAGAACATTGGTAAAGTGAGGAGGAGTGCCTGAGAAAGCATGCCAGATCAAGTAATAAAACATTTTGCTGATACTGATGTTTGTATTACCAAGTTAGGGGTTTGAAAGTCTGACTTTAAAGTACTTGCAGGGAATGCATTCTTTCTTGAGCATGAGGGTATCGGTATACAGCATGCTGGCACATGAAAGTAGTTTTTCTTATCTTACTTGTATGAACAAGAGCACAGCTCATCGCTCCCCTCCTCTCAGCTGTGTTTCAGGCAGAATAGAAGTTTACTTTCATACCCAGCTGCAAATCATTGGCCTGTGGCAGTACAGAGGATAAAATACAGCAAATACAGATAGTACAGCTGATATCCAAATCTGCACATCCAGCATCTGTAAAATAATCAAGCCATGACAGAAGAATGTGGGGATAAAGAAGGCAAAATTCAGAGATAGTATGCATCAAATTCCACTGAAGCAAATACCTTTAAGAAATCCTACCTTAAATTCTCTTCCTCCAAATATATGATGTTTGTTGGGGGGGGGGGGGGGCTTGGTATTTTTTTTGGCTGTATTCGTTATGCCTCTTTACAAATGCTGACATCTCTCTTGTGATGCTCCGCTTTTGCATTCAGTAGGCACTTTTATCTAAATAAGAGCTTCCCAGGATAATCCACCAGAAGAAAATCAGCGCACATGTTATATCCTGATCAATTTCTCCTACTCTGTAATGAATGGGAGTGAGTTACAAGAACAAAACCAGGACCTTTTGGGATGTGTGGGGGGTAGTTCTCGGGCATAGAGAGAATTCCACATCTTGGCATGAGCTGGATTGTCTTTAATGTGGTGAAATCCAAACTGCAGATTGTTATCAGGGTGCTTGCTGCTTTTCCAGCTGCCTGTTTTCTCATGGTCATTGTGTCCTCTGTGATTCCTCAACATCAGGGAAAGGCATTATTGTACGTGTATCTTTTTTTTATATAACAGCATGTTTGTCTTGATGGCTGGGAGTAGGACAAAGCAAATTCTTCAGGTGGCACTCTGATTTTCAAA